CGTCCGCGATGGACCACGCACCCAGGCGCGCTACTCGAGACCTATCTCCTGGATCGCTCTCAAACAATTTCCCCCATGAAATTTCGTTGTTTTCTCGGTCGGCCACCCAGGGAAATGACCAGGCGCAGAGAAAGCACATCGGCGCACACACGTTCCCGCTGGCTGTCGCGTCCGCATATACTTTCAGGCTGCGTCGATGCATTGCGCACGTGGAGAGCGGCGCATCCTGTCGCGTCTTCTGCGACACCACTTCGCTGCACGCCGCCAGAATCCTCTCGCTTTCCTCGTGTGCCGGGGAGTACGTGTCTGCGATTGGCTGTAGGACTTCCCCGTGCCCCACGGCCACGTGCTCGATCAACTCCGCTTCTGCGTTTCCCGACCATCGACAGCCGCGGAACGCGCAGTGCGCAGCCGGTAGTTCAACCACACTGTCTTCGGCCAACGCTTCCCCCCACGGAACGGACGGGTCTTCCGGGTCACCGGGCGCGCCCGGGGACTCCCGCAAGAGCTCCGCCGCTTCTGCCACGGCCTTTTCTCGGGTCCTCCGAGGATCTGGCGAGTCCGGGTTCACGCGGGCCGCAAAAAAACACTCCTGCGCCTCGTCCGCCTCTGGGGTTTCGATGCGACACGGAGTCTCGCGGTCCGCGGCGTCGCCCCGCGCGCCCCCATGCACATCCGCCGCGGTCGCGGGGCCTGCAGAACCCGCCCGGTTTCCGCACGCCCCCTCGCGGCACCCTTCGCCACAGACACTGGCGCACCCGCGCGCGGGAACGCACGCGCGTGGGCCGTCGTTTCCACCTGTCGTGGCGCCTCCAGGCACCGCTCGCCGAATGCGTTTCGGAGCTGTTGCTGGCGGGCGTTCGCACCCTGCCGTCGCCACGACATCCACGCCCCCCTTCCCGTCGTCTCCTCCCCCGGCGACCCTTTCACCCAGGCGCGCCGCCGACGCGTCCGGACCCACTGTTCGCGGTGTCCCCGACGGCGCGTTCGGTTCTCGTTCGGCCCGCCCACCTGCGCCGCCGACCCCGCCCCCCCCCCGCGCTGTCCGCGCAGTCTCCCGAACACCCCGCCCCGGCCTGGCACGACATCCCTCTCCACGCAGAGACGAGCCCCTTCCGACGTAACGTTCGGTCACCCTCAGAGACACTGTTCTCCTCCCCGTCCAGCTGCGCACCCGCGCGATCTCGTCTCCCCAGTGGAGAAGGGACCGGCGGCGTGACCTTCTCCGCCCCCCTGCCTGGATTTCTGCTCTCGGGGCCGCTCTCCACTCCAACGCCCAGCGAACGCATGCTCGACGTGGGCGGGCCCGTTGTCGCCAGACTCTCTACGTCGGCCGCTTCCCCGCCACCGCCCCCCGTTGCCGTCGCGCCGCCGCTGCGTACCCCCGCTTCGTTCACGCCGACGTTCTTCTCCGAGGCTTCACTGCGGCGTAGGCTCTGCGCCATCGTTTCCGCATCATCTCCGCAATTCCCAGCGCGCTCGCCCTGTGTCTCCGACTGGGCGCCGCTCGCCCTACACGCCGTCTCGGATGCGCGGTCTGCTGCTCCACTGCCGTGGACGCTGTTCCCAGGCGCGGACGACGGGCCCGCGCGAACGTACATCAACATATGCAGCGAGGAGTCGCGACAAGACTTCCACCCGCGCGCATCGGACGGATGGGGGCACATCTTCACGCATTCGTCATCGCGCAGTTCCCATCTCACGTCGCCGCCAGCCGTCGTCCTGCAAATGGCGGTGTAGTGGCCCGTGTGAAACCCTTCCCCATGGTGGACCACGCAGCTCGCCAGCTCGTAGTGGTGCTCGCCCACGATGACTTCTGCATTCGGGACAGTGGTATGCGGGACCTTCATTGCCCTCCGGCTCTCTCTGTCGTACGTCTGCGCGCCCACATGAACCCAGAGCACACGGGGAAACTTCGTCAATTCCCACCCCTTCACAGCTGTCGCCCACCCGCACCCTTTCGGACAGGACCACCTGAAGTCCGACTCCATCAACTCACCGGAACTGCTCTGCTGAATTGCTTCTTGCACAGATGTCACGCCCCCAGCAGGTACTCGAACCGCCAGGCATGTCAGGTGCCTGTCCCCCTTGACCTCTTGCGCGCCGCCGCAGCCCTTCCTCCCGCAGACGAGTGTCTCTGTCTTTTCCATCCGAAATAGGCTGCTTACTGTAGGCGCGCGTTCTACGTCGAGCAGCTCCTGTAAAAACTCATTCGCGTCTTCCTGCGTCGAGTTGTAAAACACCCGCTCCATGGCTTTCAACATCATGGGCTTCGGCCCGGCGTGACTCTCCATGGCCCGCAGAGTGCACGCGAGCAGCCCGTCAAAATCCGGCGCCCTGCGCGACCTCTGCGCCGCGTTCCCACGCGCGGCGAATCGCCGCCACTCCCAGTCGGCTGAGCGGGCCCCGCCTACACTGCGCATGGCGGCGCGCGCGTCTGACACTGCGAACAGCGCCTGCACAGAAGCGTTCACGAAGCAATGCCACTTCGGATTCTGGAGGCCGGGCAACGCAGTCAGGGAAACATGCGCGTCATCGCTCAGGCCGTCTTCATCTCGCTGCCGTCCGCCTGCCTTTCGAAGGGGGACAGTGATCTGGCGCTTCTTCGCACGCGTCGCCAGTGACGGCCCCCGTCGTCTCCGGGCCGCGCGCGAGACCCGCCGCGCGCCAGCGCGCGGCTCGGCAGCGATGTCCCGCCCTTCCGTTTCGCTGCCGGGATCCCTCTCTCGTGTCTGCCCGCAGCTTCCAAGTCGACTCGGGACATCGTCGCGGGGTGCCCCAGCGTGTCTATCTGCGGCCCCGCGGCCCCCGGAACCGCGTGCATCCCGCGCGCTGCCCCTGCCTTGCACCGCGGTCTTGTCGACGGCGCCCCGTGCCATCGACAGCCTCCAGGGCGCATCCTGGGCATGCCCGCGACTTGCGAAGCTACTGAGGGCGTCCCACCCGCGACATACCCGAACCACGTGTTCTGTTTCAAGCCACACAACAGCCCCTGAACACCCCCCCGCGGAATCTCCGAGCACCCATCGACGGCGCGGACACTCCTCCACGAGGCCGCTCGCGTATCGACCCTCGTATTCCCACGCAAACGCTCGTTGCTTGTGCAGCCACCTTTCCACGGCGATCAAGTTCTCTTTCCCCACGCTCCCGGCGCCGGCTTCTCCAGAGCCCACGTCGTTCCGGCACTGCGCCTCGAAAAAACGCATGGCGTCTCGACGGCGTCGCCCTCTACGAAGCTTCGCAACCACCACCTGCAGGCACTTGTTTTCATGAACACCCAGGTTATCATCATCGGACGCAAGAACCAAGGTCGCCAGACCGGGGGCGAACCTGACGTACACCAGCCAAAATAGCGTGACTAGCACCATCAAGCCGCCCACGGTCTCGCCACCACGACATGCGCGGCCCCCCGCTCTTGTGGACTCTCCGACACCCCTGCTTCGAGTGGCGCCGGCGTTCCCCCCTTGCAGCCACACCTGCGCGGACGCCGTGCGCGCCCTGCGGCTGACGCCCACCCCCGGGGAACTTCGCGCGCCCGCGCGCCGTCTGCGACCAGCTCGCCGGCCGCGTCGCTGGGAAAGTTGGAGCGCCAACCGATACCAAGGTTTCGGGTTCGACGCGCACGCCAGGCCGATGAACATCAACCGGCGAAACACTTCAAAAAAGACACTTTCCGGACATGCGGCCGTCGCCCTCCGTTCCTTCTTGTCCGACTCTGTTCGCGTCCACTTGCGGGGAGACAAAAACGGGCCCGGCCTTTCGAAAATTTGCAAGCGTTTTCCCCTTCGGCGCCTCCACCCCAAGGAGAACCCGCGGGCCCACCAGCGCCGCGCACTCCAGGCCCCGCACGCGCGGGCCACCTTCTTGCAAGGGCTTGCCACGTGCACACGGAAAGCCCGCCGGACTCGACGCTCGGCCCCGGGCCACTGGCCCGTACCGACAGCCCGTACTCTCGACGCTTCGGAAACGAGGTGCTGCCCCTGGTGTCGCGGGACACCGCGAACCCGCCGACTCCCAGATTGCCTGTTCGCACCTTCCCCGCGCCCAGCGCTCCCGTGACAGACTCCGAGACGCAGCCGTCGTGTTTCTCGCCACGCGCACGACGGGGTCCTGCTGCTGTCTCGCCGGCCAGCTCCACCGAAAAAATGCGATAGTCCTGCCCTTCTAGGATACATCACCCGCGAGAGTTTGGCCCGCCCGGGACGCACCACGCTGGCACCATCACGCTGCCGCCGACCATCGTCCCGCCGACCTGCTGCACCGAAAAAATGCGATAGTCCTGCCCTTCTAGGATACCTCACCTGCGAGAGTTCTGCCCGCCCGGGATGCACCACGCTGGCACCACCACGCTGCCGCCGACCATCGCGGCCAGCACCCGCCATCCGAAACGCTATCTCGTCCGCGCCGGCCTCGGGAGGTCCGGCGCCTTGCAAGATGTGGTTCCTGCAGACCCTCGGTTTTTGTGGAAAACCGGTAAACCCTCGGTTGTACCCCACCACGGCCGAAGCCGGGCTGACGACCCCTATGGCAGACTCCGAAGAGTCTGCCATGGAAGCCGCGGGCCTGAGACAACCGGTAAACTCCTTGGCTGTTGTGGTACAACCGGTAAAACCCCCGATTCCTTGCAAGGAATCGGGCCTACGACACCCCTTCGCCGCGCCCTTGCGGGCCATGGCGCCCAGGGGAGGGGCCGGAGGGGGGGCCCTGGGAAGAGGCGCCCCTCAAGAGTAGCTGCACTCAAGGCTTGAGCCTGGCAGCGCGGTGTTCTCGACTCCTCGCTTATCCCACGTTTCCTTTCCTCATCTTCCTCCTTCTCTTCCTCCACCCCTCATCCCCATCCTCTATGTCATCGTTATCCTTCTCCTTGTCACCTTCGTGGTCGTGCTCATCGGCAATATCACGCTCCCCATCCCCAACATCATCATCATCTGCGTCAGCGTCATCACCATCACCCTCATCATTTTCATCACAATCATTATCATGATGGTCGCCATGATCAACGGGAACTCCTGGGACGCCCTCTGCGAGGCGTCACGGCAGCATACGCGAGGGCGACGGGCCGAGAGCACGGCTGGCATGCAAATCACACGGAGACTTCCTGGACAAAGGCTGCATTAGGAGAACGCTGCGTCACGCACTAGCCGGCCGCTCGGGGCTGATCGAGAACTTGTGTACATATACTGCGCCCTGGTGTCCCGCTCCCCGCCTCTCCCATTCTCCCCCCGCCCTCCTCCCTCCACCTCTTCCCTGCCTCTTTCTCCCCCCTGCTCAACCCCCACCCCCCAAATCCTGCCCTCGAATCCTACTCCCCGTCCCCTTCCCTTGGACGTTTCCGCGCTCTCCCCCCGAAACTGTGCTCCCATGTGGAAGCCTCTTGGAGGGGGTGCGGATGCCCGATTTAGTGACGGAACGGCTCGACTTTGTGTGAAAACGGGAACCGTCGCCAGTCCCCGCGCCCTGATATTTTTTCGAGTGCTCCTCGAAACCCTACGAGCCCTGAGCGCTCCCCAGGACCTCCGTACAGCTCCTTTTCCCCAAACACCTTCTCCTCGTCCCTATTCGGGTCGGGCGATGTTTTTACTCTCCGCGAAACATCAAATCATTTGCTACGTCTTTGCCTCCGACTTGCGGCTTGCACGTCGGAAGGACGAACAGCGGCCGACGCGCCACTCGCCAGCAGGCCATGCTTCAGCGGAGGACAGAAAGAAGGAAGTGAGCCCTCTTACTCCTGCTCCTGCGTGTCGTCTTCTCTCCTCTTGTCACTCTCGCCAAAGAAACAGCGAGCATGGAGACGCTGCTTGTGAAATCGGCATGAAGCACGTATCAAGGAGCCCGCACGTCAAAATCTGGAGAAAAAAAAAAAAAAAAAAAAAAAAAAAAAAAAAAAAAAAAAAAAAAAAAAAAAAAAAAAAAAAAAAAAAAAAAACAAAAAAAAACTGCCTGAGACTAACTAGGATCGGCCCTCGTGGTACTGTGCACCACAAAGCCTTGTCCCTCCGAGCCCGCGGGGCGCACGCTGACAACCTGGTGGCGCGGCCAACGCGCTCCCCTGACAGTCGGCTCAAGGGGGAACAGCACGAGGCAAACTGGCGGGTCCTGATAGTCCGCCGGCCCCTTGTGGGTCTCCAGGCATGTGAGATTGTTCCCCCCCCCATAATTCCCCCCCCAGGGACCCCAAACCGGGAATTTGACCCCCCCCCCCTCGCCCGGGACGACCCCGGACCGAACTCACCCGGGGCGGTCTGGGCCCCCTGGGATCGCTCTTGAGCTGCACGACAGCACTTGACGCCTCCCAAGAAGCCGCCAAGACGGTCCACGAGAACCCAAAGTCGCCGAATGATCGTTCCAAGACGCCCAAAATGAACCCAAAACGGCCCAAGAGGCCGCCAAGACACCCCACGAAGCCTCCAGGAGGCCTCCCAAGAAGCCCCCAAGAAACCACAATCTTCAAATTCCCTTGGGAGAACGTGCGTTATCAGCATATCCAACTTGTTAGCCTTCACGGCGTTGAAAACCGTCCACGAGGCCCGCACGAGGCCACCAGGACCACCCCAAGACGGCCCACGAGGCCCCCAGGAGGCCCCAAAGACAACCCAAAAGACTCCAACGTGGCCCAAGAGGCGCCCTAGACGGCCCAAGAGAGCACCAAGACGGCCCCAAGAGAGGGACCACGAACCGCGAATTCCAGCGCTCCGCCCAACGAAGCTCTCCAGAGGACCCAAGAGGCCCCCAAGCGGCCCCAAGAGGCCCCCATGAGGCACCCAAGAGGCACCCAAGGAGCCCCCAAGAGGTCCAAAAGAAGCTCCAAAACGGCTCCCAAAACCCTTCGAAACTGCCTCGAAGAGGCCCACGAGAGTCCTCGCCACGAGATCCCGACGGACATCCCAACGGGAGCCCACCGGGGGGCCACCAAGGAACGGATCGGGACGAAGCGTGGGTCCCGGAAAATACGATAACAACAACGAGGCAAAAGGAACGATGTCGAGCGCCGTGTGATAATTCGGACAAGCCTCGTGGAATGCAGTCCTGGAGGCGCAGTAGTTTATAGAGGGGTCGGCGGATGTGGCGTAAGCCTATAGAATCCACGTCCGGAAGTGACGTGTTGCCGGAGGCAGGTCCGCGGATGCTGTAATGCAATGGATCCAATGTGTCCAATGCTTGCATAATTCCTACATATTCTATCATGTTACATTATTATGTGTCCCCCCCTCCCCCCCCCCCCTGGAGTCGCGCCACTTCCATCGACCCTCAGGAGGAGGGCCCCTTCTGGGCCTCAAAATCTAGAAAAACCTATGGAAAACCGATGATTTGGGCACCTTGAGCCTTTTGGGGATCCAAGAGGGCGTGAAGACGGTTCAAGATGGTGTCAAGACGGGATAAGACGGCCCCAAGACGGCCCAAGATGGCCCCAATAGGGCCCACAAAGCCCCCAAGATTGCCCAAGAGGGCCCTCAGAGCGCCCACCAGAACGCCGCCAGAGGCCAAAAACATCGACTTTCCTCAAGTTTTTTCAAAGAATTTCGCGTTCTCGCCTTTCCCAGCTCTCAGAGGCCCATGACGGCCCTAGCAGCCTCCAAAATGGCCACCAGACAGCCCAAGCAGCACCCAAGGGGGCCCCAAGACGGCCCAAAGAGGCCCCCAAGACGATCCAAGAGGCCTCCAAGACGGCCCAAGAGCACCCCAAGATGGCCCAAGACGACCCCAAGAGGGCCCCAAGGCGGCCGCGAGCGGCCCCCAAGAAGTCCCCCGAAGGGGCCAAACGGCTCCAAGCGTCCGCAGACGGCCCAAGACGCCCCCAAGAGGCCCCCCGAAAGACCCGGGAAGCCCCGAAGAAGCCTCCATGACCCCCCCAAAAGATTCCGAAATAGCGCCCCAAAACGGCCCAAGACGCCCCCCAAAAAAACCCAAGAGGCTTTCAGGGGTTCTCAAATGCGCCCGAGAAGCCTTCCAAAAGCCGGCAGAAGTCCCTGAAAGGGACCCAAGGAGCTCCCAACTCACCACTCCAGGACGTTTCCATATGGATGCCTCGACGATTGCAGGACGGCGCGGCAGACCACCGCAGAAGACGACAGGAAACGCCACCGCAGAGGACTACAGGAGACGGCATGCCATTCAAGCCAACATTGTTTTTCAGGAGATCCACGCGGCATCAGCGACCTCGCAGTCTCTGCGCCTGAATGGGACAAACATGTTTGCCCTGTGTGCCGTCGGGCAGGCTCAGCGCTCCGCTGCTGGTGGCGACTTTGCGCAACGCGACAGGGCTCGGGCAGCGGGAATGATTCGCACGCAGCGGGGCTCTAGCGATAAGGCTCCGCGCGGCTACGCAGGCGGCTGGCTGGGCGCACCGCGGTGGGGCGCCTGGTCACGCGGGGTCAGGCTGCTCCACCGCGAGAACAACTCATGCCTTCCCCTGGCACTTCCGGCACAGGATTTCCCCGCTGTCTCGATTGGAGCTCCAAATGATTATCCACGGAATGGCGGCAGAACACGCCCCGCACTGAGCAGCGTCGCTCTTCTTGCGGCACGCCGCGCATGTCCACTGCGGCAGCCTCTTCGCAGTGTACTTCTCCATCTTCGGCCGCGGCGTCACCCCGCGCGCCGAGCACGGCGGGCATTTACAGCTCTCACAATAATAGTCGTGCCCATTTTTCAACCGCTGTGGCGGCCTGGCCCCGCAAAGCCCTTCTTTTCCCCGGCACAGGGGTCTCATCTTCCTGTCCATGCAGTCAGTGCAGATCAGGTCCTTCGCCCCGCGGTGCTGCTTGAAGAATGTCTCGTCGAACTCCTCCGTCGGCTTCTGGACCGCGCACTGCGCGCACTTGAACAGGCGGACTTCCGACTGCACGTTGAAGCGCAGCCGATTTGGAGCGCAGCCGATGCAGACGGCGCGGTCGAGGTCCCCACGCGCCTTCAGGTCGTTCACCTCTCCGAGTCTGAAGTGGACCAATGCCTTTTGCTTCCCGCACTTGCAGCACTCGAGGACGCCCGCCCCTCTTGAGGAGAAGGGGGCGGAACGGGCGGGTTGCACGCCGATTCCAGCCTTTCCGGCCTGCTTCTGCACGCAGAGGGCGCACCTCCTCCAGGCGCCCTGGCTCAGCACCGCCACGGCGTGGTCCACGGGGTCGCTCGTTCTCATGCCACTGCCTGGGAAATTCCCCGCTCTCTTCCGCCGGTGGCAGCGTTCTCGGTGTTGTCGGCTCTTCAGAAGCCCATGACGGCCCAAGCAGCCTCCAAAATGGCCCCAAGACAACCCAAGAAGCACCCAAGGTGGCCCCAAGACAACCCCAGGGAGCCCCAAGTCAGCCCAAAGAGGCCCCCAAGACGGTCCAAGAGGCCCCCAGGACGGCCCATGAGGATTCCAAGAGGGCCCGAAGGCGGCCGCGAGAGGCTCCCAAGAAGGCCCCCGGAGGGGCCAAACGGCGCAAAAGCGCCCCAAGACGGCCCAAGACGGCCCAAGACGCCCCCAAGAGGCCGCCAAGAGGCCCCCAGGAGACCCCCAAAACGCCACAGGAAGCCTCCAAGAAGCTTCCAAGAACCCCCCAGGAGGCTTCCAAAAAACCCCACAACGGCTGGACTGCACGTGCTCCGGACATGCACCCCGCGAAGCGAGAGGAATCATCGGCAGAGTGGGCGGGCGCGCCCGCGCTTCCAGCGCACTCGCCAGGGCGGACGCCCGGCTGCCCATAATCTGCGCGGCCACCTCGCAGTACTTCTCCTCCCAGAACTCCTGCGCGGGCGCCGGCGGCAAGAGAGACCGGATGCTGCCCGGGAATGCAGACGCGTAGTCGTGCCACATCTTCTCCACGGCAACCTCGACAGCCGCGCCGTCCTCCTCAGTCATGGACCGAGCGATCTCCTCGCACTCCTGGACATTTGCAGCGACTGCGTCGGCAGGGGGCACTCTCGGCGTGAACCTCGCACGCGCCGCCGCCGACTCCGCCATCGCCCGATCCGCTACTATCTCAGCAGCCACTGCATAATAGTTCTCGTGCCAGAACGCCTCTGTCGGCGCGCTCGGCAGGAGGGCTTGAATACTCGGGGATAAACTAGACCTGTACTCTGTCCACATTTTCTCCACGGCATTTTCCGTGGCTACGCCATCGTCACGGGTCATGCCCTGACGGATTCCCCCCAGCTCCGGAACGTCAGCGCCGGCGACATCCTGGGGGGCAACCCGCGGGACGAAGGCGGGCTGCGCCAGCCCTTGCGACCCGCCCCCCTCGCTGAGCTCGCCAGCGGACGGCGCCGCGCTGACGACGTCGGCCATCACCGCAAAGCACTCCGCCGTCATGAATCCCACCAGCCCTCTGGGCGTAGGTGGTCTAGAGCAGATCCTCTTCCACCCCTCCCTCTTCCCCCTTGGGGAGGGGTTTACCCCTCCCCCTACCCCCTCCCCTGGACCTGGACGGGGGGGGCCGCGGGTAGTTAGAGCGTCCCAGATGGCCCAAGACGGCTCCAAGAGCGCCTCAGAGAACCCAAGATGAGCTCCAAGATGGCTCAAGATAGCGCAAGATCGCTCGAGATGGCTCCTAAGATGGTTCCAAGAAGCCCAAAGACGGCCCCAAGATAACTCCAAGTGGCCAAACAGCTCCCCAAGGAGGCCCCGAAGAGGCCAAAATCGTCCCAAAACCTAAGGAAAATCAATGATTTTTGCTTTCTCGCCTTTTCGCTTCCGATGGCCATCCGAGGCCTGGAGATGGCTCCAAGATGGCCCAAGAGGGCCCCAAGAGAGCCCCAAAAGAGCCCCAAGACGGCCCCAAGAGCGCCCAAGAGCACTCCAAGAGCGTTCCAAGAGGGGTCCAAGAGGCGATTTTAGGGGCTTCCGAGGGGGGACGCTAATTAAACCCCCCCTCTTGTTTGATCGACTCCCTCCAAGATGGCCCCAAAAGCGCCCCGAAGGCTCCCCAGAGCGCCTCAAGAGGGTCCCAAGAGGCGCCCAAGATGCCCCAAGGCGCCCAAAAAGCCCTCCAAGAGGCCCTCAAAAGACCCCCAAGAAGCTCCTTCCCCTCCTCCTCCTCCTCCTCCGATTCTTCCTCCTTCTCCGTCCTCCTCCTCCTCCTCCTCCTCCTCCTCTTCCCCCTCCTCCTCCTCCTCCTCCTCCTCCTCGACGACGACGACGACGACGACGACGACTCCTCTTCCATCCTCCCCCTCTCGGGGTCTGTGACAGCTTCCCCCCCCTTTGTTATTCTGCATGCTCCCCGACTTCCCTGATCACCTCAACTCCCCTGAGCATCGTTTCTGGATGGGCTGGTGGGGATACGCGAAGCGTCAACAATTTCACGAACATGTCGGGAGATGGCTGGACGTGCCTCGTCAAGACATCCCACCCAGCCCACGCTTTCTTGTCGAGCACGCCCACGAGCGCGGGCGTCATCTGTGCTGCGGCCGCGGCAGCGGCGGAACGCTTCGTCGCGTCCCCGATGCTGGCGACAGGGATCACCGGGACAAACACGCAGTCAGTGAACCAGTGGCGAAGCTGCTTACTCTCGTAAGATTTCTGGAGGTGGAAGTCGACCACCAGGCCGTAGAAGGAGCTATACATGAACTTTGCCCTGCGGACGGGCTCGGGGATGTCCTCGTCCGTCGGGGGCGCCGCCCGGAACTCCGCGCACTGCTGGTCGACGTAGGACTGCACCTCCACCTGCTCGGTTTTCAGCACAAACTCCAGGGCAGCCTTGGCGGCATCTTGCGCCACCCCCTCCTCCAAGTCCGATGGCTGCACACAGGGGAACTCTTGGCTGTCCACACGATCTGAGATGCGACGGAATAGTGCGTCGTTCTGTACCTGCGCCGCAACTCGCATGAGCTCGATGAAATCGTTTTTCGAAAAAGTGTGCGACGGCTCCCACGAGTGGCACGTGAACGCGTCGCCGAGCTGCTCCTCCTCCACGCGCACGCCGTGCCCTTGCAGAAAAAGCTGCAGCCCCGCCACCCCAGGGGACGCAATCTCTCCGCCCACTGCCGCGGCGTCGAATATGGACGACCACTGCGCCAATTCCATCCTATCGCGGTTGCGCCCGAAGCCAACTGCGAATATCCGGGCACAGATCGAAGAATTATCACCTCGTGCGCACTCGAGCCTAAATGAGCAATGGACCCGCGCGGCGGACCCCGCTGGACGAACCCAAATGTGCAATGAAGAAGCGCGGCGGGACCCTCTGAACAGGCCCCACTGCGCGGTCCTCTCGCATGTTCTTCCCCTTACTATCACGAGACACGAAAAACTCCCTTACTATCATGAGGCACTACCGTGTTCGTGTGGTGTGCACTGCTGGTCTGCCGTGCATCTGTGGTGCGCATGCTCCTCTGGTGTGGCGTGCCTCTGTGGCGTGCCGTGCTGGTGTGCCGCGTGGCGTGCCTCGCTGGTACGCCGTGCGCCCAATCCGGCTGATAGCCCCAATCCGTCTGCCCAGACTCGGTGCCTGACCAGTTCCTTTTCTCTCCCGCGTCCTCCACATGCCAAGGGAACGATTGAGGACCCTCCCGACGGCAATCGTTTAGGCTGCCACCGTCATCTTCTGGGACACCGAACTTTTCAGCGCTCCTGGTTGGACAGAGCGGGAGGGGCTAAATTTGTTCTACACTGTCTGGGGCTGCCTGTGTTTTCAAAATCAAATGGGCAGCACATGTAGGTGCACAAATGTAATATATCCAGGCATTCGGTCTCCCTAGACATCCGGCAACCAGCTGCGCCCCTCCTTGCTCCTCCTCGCTCCTCCTCCTTTTCCGCCCCCTCCTTCTCCCTCCTCCTCCTCCTCCTCCTCCTCCTCCTCCTCCTCCTCCTCCTCCTTCTCCTCATCTTCCTCCTCCTCCCCTTCTGCCTTCCTCCCTCCTCCTCCTCCTCCTCCACCTCCTCCTTTTCATGTTCCTCCTCCTCCTCCTCCTCCTCCTCCTCCTCATCCTCCTCCTGCTGGCCCGGGAGCCCGAGACCCGGAAGCCCCCGACCACTATCTGGACCGCCCCCTTAAGATTCAGATGAGAATCCTGTTGTAGAATTCTGCTGTTCTCGCAGAGGTAGTCGCATTCGCGATGGCAGTCGCAGTGGCAACGGCAGTCGCAGTCACAGCCTCAGCCTCAGCCTGCCTCAGCCTCAACCTCAGCCTGCCTCAGCCTCAGCCTGCCTCAGCCTCAGCCTCAGCCTCAGCCTCAGCCTCAGCCTCAGCCTGCCTCAGCCTGCCTCAGCCTCAGCCTGCCTCAGCCTCAGCCTCAGCCTCAGTCAGCCTCAGCCTCAGCCTCAGCCTGCCTCAGCCTCAGCCTCAGCCTCAGCCTTCAGCCTCATCAGCCTCAGCCTCAGCCTCAGCCTCAGCCTCAGCCTCAGCCTCAGCCTGCTCAGCCTCTCAGCCTCAGCCTCAGCCTGCCTCAGCCTCAGCCTCAGCCTGCCTCAGCCTCAGCCTCAGCCTCAGCCTCAGCCTGCCTCAGCCTCAGCCTCAGCCTGCTTCAGCCTCAGCCTCAGTCTGCCTTCAGCCTCGGCCTCAGCCTCAGCCTGCCTCAGCCTCAGCCTGCATCAGCCTCAGCCTCAGCCTCAGCCTGCCTCAGCCTCATCAGCCTCAGCCTCAGCCTCAGCCTCAGCCTCAGCCTCTGCCTCAGCCTCAGCCTGCCTCAGCCTCAGCCTGCCTCAGCCTCAGCCCATCAGCCTCGGCCTCAGCCTCAGCCTGCCTCAGCCTCAGCCTCAGCCTCAGCCTCAGCCTCAGCCTCAGCCTGCCTCAGCCTCAGCCTCAGCCTCAGCATCAGCCTCAGCCTCAGCCTCAGCCTGCCTCAGCCTCAGCCTGCCTCAGCCTCAGCCTCTCAGCCTTCAGCCTCAGCTCCTGCCTTCAGCCTGCCTCAGCTCAGCCTGCCTCAGCCTCAGCCTGCCTCAGCCTCAGCCTGCCTCAACATCAGCCTGCCTCAGCCTCAGCCTCAGCCCTCAGCCTCAGCCTCAGCCTGCTTCAGCCTCAGCCTCAGTCTGCCTTCAGCCTCGGCCTCGGCCTCAGCCTGCCTCAGCCTCAGCCTGCATCAGCCTCAGCCTCAGCCTCAGCCTGCCTCAGCATCAGCCTGCCTCAGCCTCAGCCTCAGCCTGCCTCGCCTCAGCCTCAGCCTCAGCCTGCTTCAGCCTCAGCCTCAGTCTGCCTTCAGCTTCGGCCTCATCCTCAGCCTGCCTCAGCCTCAGCCTGCATCAGCCTCGGCCTCAGCCTCAGCCTCAGCCTCAGCCTGCTTCAGCCTCAGCCTCAGTCTGCCTTCAGCCTCGACCTCAGCCTCAGCCTGCCTCGGCCTCAGCATCAGCCTGCCTCAGCATTCAAAATGTGACTCGGAAATGAAGTTATGGGAACTCGAAGAACACGAAGTGACCTACAGTTGGCTCCAGGCATTCAAAATCATGCCCAGGAATGGAGTTCTGGGAACTCGAAGACCACGAAGTTGCCTACAACTGGCTCCGGGCATTCAAAATGTGGCCCGGGAATGAGGTTCTGGGAACTCGAAGAGCACGAAGTGACCTACAGTTGGCTCCGAGCATTCAAAATCATGCCCAGGAATGGAGTTCTGGAAACTCGAAGACCACGAAGTGGCCAACAGTTAGCTCCAGGCATTCGCCCTCCGCCTGCTCCTCCTGCCCAGGCGCGCCCGCGCCGCTCAGCCACCCCTCCCCCTCGAGCGACAGGGTCGGGGGTTGCTAAAGATGCCCCTGGCCCAAAGAGGAGGAAGAGGAGGAGGAGGAGGAGGAGGAGGAGGAGGAAGAGGAGGAGGAGGAGAAGGAGGAGGAGGAGGGAGGACAAGGAGGCTCAAGGATCGAGGACCGAGGACCGAGGAGGAGGACCGAGGAGGAGGATCGCGGAACGGGGCATGAGGGAGGCTGCTACAGGTGCCCCTGGCCCAAGCTGCCCCCAACTGCTCGCTCAATTATGGAGCCCCTGAGGCCCGTAAAAGGTGCTCCAGAGGCAGTGGGGGCTTCCTTGAAAATCAAGGGCTCCCAACTTCGCGCTTCGCGCTGCGCGAAGTGCGAAGTGCGAACAACTTCGCGCTCTCGCGCCGCCTCCCAGGGGAGAAGAGGAGGATGAGGAGGAATCGGAGCCGAACCGCGAAGCGCGAAGCGCGAATAACTTCGCGCCCTCGAGGGCGCCCTTGATTATGGAGCCCCTGAGGCCCGCAAAAGGTGCTCCAGAGGCAGTGGGGGCTTCCTTGAAAATCCTGGGGTCACCTTGGGCCATGGGCACTTCTGGCAATACCCGAGAGGCGGGGCATGGAGGCCTCCCAAGTAGCGGGTTCCAGAAACCCCGAGCCAAAAAATCGCGCCAGCTCTTCAAGACTCAAGCAAGTTCACTTGCACGTCACTCCCCCCCGCCCCGGCGCCTTTTCCAGCAGCTCTAGGCCGAAAAGGCGTGCAAGTACGTCCCGACTTGCGGGAAGTCCAGATTTCCTTCTGGGCCTCACCACGCCCCCCCCTCCCCCACCGTCGATGCAAATAAACGTGTCAGAATCTAGAGAACTGCCTCTTCCACTGGCCTTCCGCCAGCGGAGGCGGCCTCGTTTTACTTCCGCTGGCTCCCTCCGCCCTTCCGCCGCCTTCCGCCGAGGAAGAGATGCCAACACCTTCGATCCTCGAAGGCAAGGCCCTTTCTGGAACGCCTAAAATGGGGTCCGAATGGATGGAGTCGGAGGATCGCTCCGCAAAGCCGATGCGTCGCCGATGCATCGGCGCCGTCGGCGCGGAGAAAATCGGGCTCCACGTCGAGCCGCATCACCGATGCATCGGCGATGCGGCGCGATACGCAGATCCCACCTACTCGGGCCCCTGCTGGGAGGCCTGGGATGGAGGAGGAGGAGGAGGAAGAACAGGAGTACGGGAGGGCGGACCGTGAGCTTGTTACCGCGAGGACCGCCAGAGGTCTGGACCCCTCCTCTGGTTCCAGGGCACTGCAACCTCCGTCGCAGCTTTCCCACAAGACGAGAAGGTCTGGGGACCATGAGATCGGACGTTGCAGAAGAAATGCGACATTACGAAAAATCACGCACGAAGACCTAGACCCCATCTTTCTGTGTCATTGCTCAAATCGGTTCGATCTGTGAGGGTCATGGGGCCCGACAACTGGCGAAAACGCCCGTGGAAAAGTTGCGACACTCGGGCCTGACGGAACGCGACGAGTTCTGGAGAGGACGGAAGCGACAATGCCACAGATGCCGCTCGTGCCTGCGCGCGCTTTTCGTACCACGGGTCCGTGTCGCGCCGACCCTGGCGGTGGTTCCTGACACCGCGGGGATCGTTCAACCTTGAACGATCGGCCGTTTCCGAGATGTCAGACCGTTCAGCATCGACCGATTCTGGGTCGCCGGCTTCGTTCCGCCTTGAACGCCGGCGGCGGGGTCGTCGCCTGTCGACACGACGCGAACCTGCAGTAGGTGGGTGTAGCGATCCTGGCAGTTCTTGGGGCCTCTTTGGGGGACGTTTTCGGCCGCTTCCTCCCAAGGACGGAGGGACGGGCCCAGACGACCCCGGAAGACCAGCCAGGACGGCCCAGAGGACTGCGCGGTCCTGAGCTCGTCCAGCGGGGGCGCACCTCCAGGAGAGCTGTCCCTCTTGTGCCAATGAGAAAGGATGGGCGGACACAGCACGATGAAAGCCTCTGCGACGCATTCGTAAAGCCATTGGGCCACCTGAAATGACCTGCGCACGAATGGGACTGAAAAGTATAGCCCGGTACACTGGCTGTCCTGCGAGCGATGATACGAGAGGCGGCTGTGTTTTTGCAAGCACAGGCTCTAGACTTAAAAGCGAAGACGATCGAGCCACTGTAAATCCAGTGGCATTGGATACACGCTTCGGCGTAGTACACCACAGTGTGCATTACATTGAAAACGAACACTGGCGTACACCACTGTGCATTCAGAGAGGTAGGGCCATCTGTGTACGCCTTAAATGTAGCAGTACCTACGTGTCTATATGTGCACATAGCATGTGCATGAGGTCGAAGTGGATTCACGCCACGAAGAGTCAGTTACACGGTCACGGCGATTATTACAATGCGCCGGCCCGAGCAACCACGCTCTCAAAGCGACCCTATCCCGCTGATCTGGCGCGCGCCAGCGTGCTTCTCTGGGAGGAGGGAGAGAATACGAAAACGATGGGGAAGGAGGAGCGTGGGTAGAGAGGGCGGAATGGGGCAGGAGGAAGAGGGAGAAATGGAGGACGGGAAAAACAGGAAGAGGGGGAATATGTAGTCGAAAGGGGGAGCGGGAACAG